GGCGGCCGCGGGTCGGCGTTGGCCTCCGCCCTCCCGCCCTTCCTCCCCTCAGCAACGGTCCGGGGATGCATGGCGGCGCGGCCCACAGCGACCCCCCCTCGGATGGGTCCCCGGGTCCTTCCGGAAGGGACGACGGGACCGCCGAGGCTCCTTCCTGTGGTTTCAGCGCAATAAGGTTTTCCCTCGGAAGCCAGAGCTTAGCCTCAGCGCCTTGCCCCTCAGGTCCCCCGAAGCGGTTCCCGGTGGCGGCGGTGGATGCTATCCTGAAGGATGTGCTGGGAAGCTACCTGAGGGAGCAGCCTTACGAGCCGGCCCGCTGCAGGGACATGGCGAAGGACATCGCTGAGGTACCTGCGCTCCAGGCGGCCATTTTGTCCTCATGCCTCGATGGGGTGTCAGGGAGGTGGCCGCCAAATATAAAATACAAAACAAATGCTGGAGGAGGACGTCAAAATGCACCGAGGGTTGATTTGAGATGGGTCCAAGCTTATATGGGATAATGATGAGGTTTATTCAAGCTCTGAGCAAGCATACAGTTCAGTTAAATCTCCATGCTGTGGTTGCCCTGTCCAGAAATACCATTAAGGTTTAAGTGTGTATCGGATGTTTGTGAAATAGGCCAGCTATGGTAGCGGCTGAATTCTGCACAGTGACATGGGTGCAGGCTCCTTGTCGGTTAAATCCAGTCTTGCTGCTGAGAAAAGCCTGTCCTGACCCTTTAGTCTTAGCTGATTTGGCCCAGAAGGACGCACCGACATTAAAATAAGTGATTACTTTCCCCGCTGTAATGAGGAGGTAATTGCGAACATACACAAAGGAGAATATGGTATTCACGTGTAGTAACTCCTTAATTAAGTGTACACCATCTACACTTAAGTGTAGCCCAGCAGGAAGGTGGGCCTGTTTGCAGCACTGTCCCCAAAACCCAAATCGCTGAGCATCCCCTGTAAAGCCACCTCACCACTTTGTGTCTAAATGTGTTTTTTTTCGCTTGCAGGTTATTCAAGCTCGGGTGAAAGACCTTATGGTACCGAGGTACAAGATTGTGGTGGTGACACATATCGGGCAGCTGAATGAGCAGAGCATGCAGATTGGGAGCCAGTGCCTGTGGGATCCTGCGAGCGACACCTTTTCATCATACGTGTTCAGAAACACTTCACTGTTTGCTCTTGCAAACGTCTATGCTGTCTATTTTGAGTAAGGAGGGAGTCGAGTTTACCAGCAGGAGAAAGGAGATTCAGCCCAACTCTTCCTGTTTCTGCTGTTGAAGACGGTTGTGCAGGACCAGGGCAGCTGTCACCTGTTTAGAAATGGGGTCACCATAAGCCTTTTGGTGGTGAATGTAATAGTTGTATTTCCCAGAGCTGTCTCTGGGGAGCTATTCTCTGTGAAATGCCGTTTGCTTCTGTTTCTAGCTGCTTTTAAAGCTGGGTATCTCTGTGATACTCCTTTTCTCCCTGAATTTGCCCTAACTACGTGATCCCCAAGTAGAAACTACAGAGGGATTTTTGGAAAGTAAAATAAAAGCATTTTAAAGCTATCCGTGTCAAATGGCATTTGTGGGCAGTGATGTATGTGGCCAGGCACCAGCTCCGTGCACACACTGTGTTGCAGATGCTGTGTCCCCTCGAGCCGCAGTAGCTTGGTTCTGGATCCCCCAAAACTAGGATATCATCAGATAGGACGAAATATTTGTACTTGTGACTCAAAGTTTAACTAAACCACTGTAAACACTTTGTGGAATCGGAAAAACCAACCTGAATGATCACTGTTTTCTGGTTTGCACTACAATACTTAACATTCAGCCTTTACACCCTAGTGTAGTCCCAAGAATAAAGCTACAGTTCAAGAATACAATTGAAATAGTTGTGGTTGATATCATGTTTATTTTATTACATGAAGACTGGCATTGAACCT